AGGCGGGCGTCCCCGGCGTCCTCGGCGTATACCAGCGCAAGCAGTAGACCCAAGAGATCCTGCTGATCAGCGGCTCGAGGTAGAGGTGGGAGGTGGTAATGGCTGATGGGCCACTATGAGCGTTGAGGGCGCCGGACAATCGTGCGGCGGCGAGGGCGTCGGCGAGAGTGCTCGCGGGGAGAATGCAGCTGCGGACCAGCCAGCCTCGAACGGAAGCTTGGATGGCGGAAGCAGGTAGGTAATGTGGGTGGTTGCGGGCGGCAACGAGGGCAGCAGCGGCGGTGGTGGCGGCGGCCGCGGATCGGCGTGTGATCCAGCCGCGGACACAGGCTTGGATAGTGGTAGGTGCAATACGTAAGTTGTGGTCGACGGCCGCTCGACATGCCTTGATGGTGGAAGCGGGCGGGCGGTGCGAGCGGCGGCAGGCGGCGGCGGCGGTGGCAGCGTCGAGGGCGGCAGCGGCTGGGCGGCTAGTGAGCCAGCCGAGATACTGCATCTTCCAGCGCAGATTGCCCGAGCGCCAATGGAGCACGAGCCGAGTCTCACGGCCCCTCGCCCAAGCTTGGATGTAAGTGGCGCAGCGGTGGCGGCGGAACTCCCCGAAGGAGCGGCGGATCAGGAGGAGGAGGATGGTGGTGGCGACGGTGGCGCCGGCGGTGGCGGGGGCGATGATGGCAGCCGCAAAGGCGGCAGCGAGGAGGATGATGGCGGTGAGGGCGGCGGCAGCAAGGGCGGTGGTGGCGATGGCGCAAGCGGTGACAGTGGTGGCCGATTGGTTGGCGACCAGAAAGGTGGCGGTGGCGATTAGGGTGGAGGCGAGGGCGGTGGAGACGACGAAGACGCCGGAGATGACGGATCGGGTCAGAGAACGAGGCGCGGGAATGCACGGCGGAGAAGGCGGGGTGTGTGATGGCAGGAGAGGCACTGTAGGTTGGGCTGGTGCAAGGACGCGGAAATCATGGTGGCAGCAAGTGCCTGCTGGCGGGGTACCGCCTATCGCCAACCGGTGCGTTGTCGCGGTGGGCCCAGAGGGGCACATCGAACCCAGGCATGGCTGTTGGACGAGGTCCTCTGGCGCAAGTGGGGGCAGTCGGCTCTTGATGACGGGAGGTTGTTGACGTGCCACGTGACCGACCCCCGAGGCCGGCTTCGACACGTATTGAGAAGCTATGTTAACCAGCAAATCCGTAGATGAACGTCCATGCTCGCCAGCGCTCCAGTCGTAGTGACCTCGGGGGTCGGCGGGGGCGCGGCGCATGGTGCCGCTCGCAGCAGCGAGGGCAGGCTGGGGCCAGGTGAGAGTCGGACGATGCAGCGGCCTCGCCTGCCGCGTGTCGCCTTTGCTCCGCTTATCATGCCGTTCTTTTGGTGAGCGTACTGGCGATGTCTCGCACAGCGCTGTCGGCGGGGGTGGTAAGGTCGACGTCGATGCGTGCATGTAGGCAAGAGGGGCAGAAGCGCGATGAGGACAGATCCTCTGGGTTGGCGGTCGTGGCAGGGGCGCCAGGGAGAGCCGCCCCGGGAGGCCTGCCTGGAGGCCTGCAAGAGGCGAGCTTGAGAGCAGCAGAGGCGGTGGCCACGCCGCTCGCAGCCGAGAGCTGCTGGAGGCAGGCGCCAGCAGGCGGTGCCAAGTCGTTGGAGGGAGGGGGGAGGAAAGGGTGGGCTGGCGGTGGCGCAGTTGGGAGGGCGGCGGAGGCGAGCGGGTGCAGCAGGAGCAGCACCGTGAGGAACTTTCTCGGAAAGGGCACTCCGGACGGGGCCATGGCGGGCGGGCCGTGGCGGGCGGGCCTGGAGGGAGGCGTCACACCCAAGCAGCCAGGTGGGTTGCGAGGGTGCATGCTCCGCCGCGCGCCTCGGGCGCGCGGCGCAGCGGCAGATCTGCCTGTTCCATCATGGAAAGCAGCGTCGCTGCTTGGCACAATGGAAAGAGCAGTTGGTCCGTCGTCGGCCGTGCCGGCGACCGTGGCCGGCGCAGTGGCGCCGGAGCGTGGACCGGGTGGCGCAGTCGCGCCAGCCGAGCCCTGGCCCGCAGGCTGGGGCTCGGGCTGCCAGTCAGCGGTGCTGGTGGCAAAAGCGCTGCTTGGCACAAAGCAGCCCGCGCAAGCGAGCAAACTTCGTACCACTTGGACAGACGGGTCGGGCGGGTCCATGTCCTCCATGCTGCGGCGTCGGGTGGGCTTTAGCGCGATCCTCTGGGCGCAGGTACGTCGACGGCTCGCTGGCGAGTGGACAAGGGCGGAGGCCCCGGTGTACTAGCGTTTGTCTGTGTGTCGCTCGTGCGTGTCGTCATCATGAGGGTGTTCGGGTTTGGGCGTTTTGAGTGTAGATCCAGCGTTCCAGCCTCTGGCAGAACACTCCGCTCCACGCTGCAGCGCCCAGGCCTCCGCCCTGGCCATACATGACCCAAACCTCTTCGCCGGCCCCACCAACTCGACCGACTCGACCGCCAACCGGCTGGGTTTGGCCGGCGGCGCGACGCGTGGCCTGTGCTGCGGCCATCTCGGACGTTCAAGCGGCGCCAGCCAGCGGCTCGGCCGCGCATCCTTCACAAACGCCGCCACAACCGAGATGAGCGGGCCCAGTGTCGAGCCTTGATGCAAGCTGCTTGTGAGGGGCGGCTGTGGCCACAGCAGGTCCAACAGACAGACGTCAAAGCTTGCCGTCGGTGTGCTGTCGTGGGGTGGTGCACGACACGCATTGGGAGGAGCCGAGTGCAGTGGCGAGCCAGAGGCTACCTGGGTCACCAAGTGGTGCTCCTTGCCTATTCTGAGCAGGGCTGTGCTTTGATGGGGCTGTGCTTGACATGTGTGAAGTGGGAGTGCGTGCCGGCGGTGTGTGAGAGTGAGAAAGACGTGTGTATGAGGCCATAAGAGCCGTGGTATGAGCCAGAGTGAGCTTCATGACCCAAGATAAGTGCGGTTTGGGACACATCTACACGCCTCCTGGCAGGGCTGGGCCGGCAGAGCGACAGGGAAGGCGAGGTGGTGAGCTGACATGCTGGGGAGTCGGCTTGTGTACGTGTCGCGATGACCTGCCGCAAAAAGCGTTGTTTGCGGTTATTGCTCAAAACTGTGGGAGAGAAGGCCTACATATTATGACTGCACCCACGGCCTTGGTGCATGAGGGCTGCGGGACGGGACATATCACGGTCGGTGGCACCGATATGACCTCCAGAATGCCCTCGCAATCGCCTCGGATGGGGTCCACCGGAGACAATCTCGAGCCCTCTCCGTGGCATCACGAGCCGGTGTGAGCTTGCAGACCCAAGATAAGTGCGGTTCGGGACGGCTCAGGCTTGCTACTGATGGGCCTGGGCCGGAAGAGCGACAGAGAAGGCGAGGTGGTGAGCTGACATGCTGGAGAGCGTCCGAAGTGACCTTGTCGCGAAGCAAGTGCCAAAAAGCGTTGTTTGCGGCTATTGCTCAAAACTGTGGGAGAGAAGGCCTACATATTATGACTGCACCCACGGCCTTGGTGCATGAGAGCTGCGGGACGGGACATATCACGGTCGGTGGCACCGATATGACCTCCGGAATGCCCTCGCAATCGCCTCGGATAGGGTCCACCGGAGACAATCTCGAGCCCTCTCCGTGGCATCACGAGCCGGTGTGAGCTTGCAGACCCAAGATAAGTGCGGTTCGGGACGGCTCAGGCTTGCTGCCGACGGGCCTGGGCCAGGAGGGCGACAGAGAAGGCGAGGTGGTCAGCTGGGAGCAGGAAGTAGCGCTTCGTGGCACTTTCATCGCGACAAGGTCACACGCGGACTCTCCAGCCTCTCAGCTCACCACCTCGCCTTCTCTGTCGCCCTCCTGGCCCAGGCCCGTCGGCAGCAAGCCTGAGCCGTCCCGAACCGCACTTATCTTGGGTCTGCAAGCTCACACCGGCTCGTGATGCCACGGAGAGGGCTCGAGATTGTCTCCGGTGGACCCCATCCGAGGCGATTGCGAGGGCATTCTGGAGGTCATATCGGTGCCACCGACCGTGATATGTCCCGTCCCGCAGCTCTCATGCACCAAGGCCGTGGGTGCAGTCATAATATGTAGGCCTTCTCTCCCACAGTTTTGAGCAATAACCGCAAACAACGCTTTTTGCGGCAGGTCATCGCGACACGTACACAAGCCGACTCCCCAGCATGTCAGCTCACCACCTCGCCTTCCCTGTCGCTCTGCCGGCCCAGCCCTGCCAGGAGGCGTGTAGATGTGTCCCAAACCGCACTTATCTTGGGTCATGAAGCTCACTCTGGCTCATACCACGGCTCTTATGGCCTCATACACACGTCTTTCTCACTCTCACACACCGCCGGCACGCACTCCCACTTCACACATGTCAAGCACAGCCCCATCAAAGCACAGCCCTGCTCAGAATAGGCAAGGAGCACCACTTGGTGACCCAGGTAGCCTCTGGCTCGCCACTGCACTCGGCTCCTCCCAATGCGTGTCGTGCACCACCCCACGACAGCACACCGACGGCAAGCTTTGACGTCTGTCTGTTGGACCTGCTGTGGCCACAGCCGCCCCTCACAAGCAGCTTGCATCAAGGCTCGACACTGGGCCCGCTCATCTCGGTTGTGGCGGCGTTTGTGAAGGATGCGCGGCCGAGCCGCTGGCTGGCGCCGCTTGAACGTCCGAGATGGCCGCAGCACAGGCCACGCGTCGCGCCGCCGGCCAAACCCAGCCGGTTGGCGGTCGAGTCGGTCGAGTTGGTGGGGCCGGCGAAGAGGTTTGGGTCATGTATGGCCAGGGCGGAGGCCTGGGCGCTGCAGCGTGGAGCGGAGTGTTCTGCCAGAGGCTGGAACGCTGGATCTACACTCAAAACGCCCAAACCCGAACCTACTCATCTGTCTTGCGTCCACCCATACCGCGTTGGTGTCCAGTCCGAGCCTGACTGTTCTTCACCTTACTACATACATACATAACTGCTCCATTCTCTGGCTGGCCTCCTCAATCGCCACCTCGTGCAGCGCCTCGACCTGATCCACCCGCGCAAGGCCGTGGCCGACCAGAAGCTTGAGACCCGCGACACTCGCGTCATCCTCGAGCAACCTCGCCATGCACAAAATCGTGCGAACGGGGCTTTTTCTTTTGGCAGCAGCTCCTGGGGTCCAACTTTTCCGGGGTATCGTATGGTCTCGAGGTGGGTTGCGGGCGGATCCAAAAGAGAATTCTTAAAATACAAGCCTGATTGATTGATGGGAAGGCGAAACACAGTCCGACCAACGACTGGGACACCAACGCGGTATGGGTGGACGCAGGACGGGCGATGACGGTCACACAGGAGCACTTGGAGCCATAATTTTTCGAGGGTACCCATTCGTTGCTGGTAGCGAGTCGACGCTGCTTGACCTGCCAGCGTCGACTCGCCCTGTTCGCAGATCTCCTCTGCTGGCGCCATGTGCCTGTCGCCGGCGCTGCAGAGCGGCGAGGACATCGTCAGCCACCAGCTCGAGCTGCAGTCGATCTTGCACGGTGTGCACCAGCGCTACGCCGGCCGCCAAGGGCGGGACAACAAGCACGACACGGCGCGGCTCCGCTACATCAAAAACACCGCCTTCCCGGGCCTGCGCTTCGGCAAGATGGTGCCGGAGCGAGACATGGCGATGCTCAGCCCTCTCCCACCGTCGCGGATCGCCCGTCACCTCGCCTCTCCGCAGGGTCATCTCTCGCGCCGTCTGCATCTCTCTGCCGGTCGCCAGCACCCGCCACCGACTGGCTGCACCGCCACTCGCGACGCGCCACCCTCGCTCACCAGCCTGCATACGCGCTACTCCCGCCGTGCCTTTGCTGCCACATGGATCGCATGTCACTGCAAACGCGCCCGCAGCCGCGCCGTAAAGGTCTGCCTTGCTGGCTGACGATCTCACTCTCCCGCTCCTATTGCATCTGCCTCCCGCCTCCCAGCTCACATTTGACACTGCAGTAGGTGCTCCTGTCGACGCTGCCGCCGCTGCCACCGCTACTGTCACCGCTCGTTTGATAATCGACGCCACGCTTAGCGGCAGCGAGATCCGAGGTTGAGTCAACTTGCCTGGTGCGCTCTTGCGCGTGCCTTCAAGATCCACAAGTCAATTTGTACCAGAAATCCAAAGGTGGTGCAAAATGGATATCTCAAGATTGGCCTTTATTTCGCGCACCTGCTCTCCGCCGCCGCCGCTTACCTGCTGGCACGCCACCGCCCCGCGTCGCTAACTCAAGCCTCCCTGCTGCATCTTGCCACCCCTGCCACATGACTCGACCGCCGTCGCTGCTACCGCCCTCCCCGCCGCCCTCGAAGGCGCCACCAGCATTACGGCCGCCTTCATATCTCATTGATGCTGCCACCAACGCCACTTCCTCGATTCTGTGCCGCTGCAGCGGCGAGGCGCCGTCGCCACGATCGCCGCCAGCGCTGCTGATAGCCTCGGAGCGTCGCCGTGGCCGCGTTCTGGTCTGCCCACGCTTCCCTAAAACGTCTAGGACGAGCTCAGAGGCTAAGGGCGCATCATGTGGGACCATCTAGCTCTACTGGGTCCGCGACGGTGGTCGGCGCACCCCCGTCTCGAACGTGTGTGCTCTCTGTCTGTCTGTCTGTTGTTTCGGCTAAGTCGTTTTGTAACCTGGTTTGTGGAGCTCCCGCAGTTGTCTAGACAGTCCTGAGCCTGTCCAGACAGTGTCCAGACAGCGTCCAGACAGCGTCCAGACAGTGTCCAGACAGCGTCCAGACAACGTCCAGACAGTGGCACATGGCTCCACTCTTCACAGTCAAGTCTCGTAGTCGTGGCTGGACGACACTGACAGCACCCCTGGCGCTGCCGAGGCCACTCCCCACCCACCCACCCACCCACCCACATACCGCTTGCCGCCCTACTTGCGAACTTGCCGTTTGGGGGGGGGGGGGGCGGTGCGTCTAGACAACAGAACTTAACAGAACTTGAGAACTTGAAGTTTTGAACTTGTAGCCTCATCTAGACAGCTGTCTAGACAGGCGCTCTTCACAGACGGGTTAGCAAAGTGCCCGCGAAGAGGTCGGCAACTGTGGCGGCAATTGGGCAACGCCAACGTCACAACGATGCTGCGGATAAGGGCAGAGCAAGCGTGGGCACGCATTGGTCAGGTGCCATACTGCAGCCATGAGCCCCGCGCCGCAGCCGATGAAGAAGCCGCGGGCCGGCAGTAGCCACGTCGACCCACCGCTGCGCAATGGGCAAAGCGCGAGCCCAGCAGTTCAGTCAGACATGAACGCTGCACCGAAGACGGCGGCCTCGGGGCGCGCGTGACCGAACGCGCTTGCGGCGCTGCCACGCCGTCCTTTCCCATCGCCGCCGAACCGCCCTCCCTCCGCCGCGACAGACGCCGCAAAGACGGCGCTTCTCGCCGCCCAAGCAACAGCAGCAGCTGTGGCAGCGAATCTTTGCGTCGCTGGTGCGCGCGGCGGCCTCGTCGCAGTCTGGCGGGCGCTTGCCTCGCGGACCAGGCGGCCGAGCAGGCTGTGATCGCGGCCGAGGTGGATTGGCTCGGGCGGGTGCCGCCTGGAGGCGCGCCGGCAAAGCAGCCTGCAAAGGCGGGGCGATCGGCGAGGCGGCGGCGCTCGCACCTGTGCAGCTGACGCGCCAGCCGCCTGTGCCTTCCGGCGGCCTGTGCGCAGCAGGTCTATCTATTCACACCTCAGACGATCTTCCACGTCCAGACAGCGTCCAGACAGCGTCCAGACAACGTCCAGACAGCGTCCAGACAGTGTCCAGACAGCGTCCAGACAGCAAAATCGGAGCGTCTAGACAGCTATACAGACAGTAATAGCACTTGAATGTACACAGCTGATTGAAGTAAAGGGGAATGATGCAGCTGCCTGCCAGAGCAGAAAGATTCCTTAATTCTCTCCACTACAAAAAAAATCCGGTGGGGAACCGACATCATGGCCCCGAATGCCGTGCTCTCTAGGTAATCTGCGGGAGCTCCACAAACCAGGTTTTGTACCGGATTTCAATGTTAGTGGCAAAACCGCGGAGCCGAAAATGGCGTTTAATTTCGCGCACCTGCTGTCCGCCGCCTGCGGCGGCGCTCCGCGCCGCTTGGGGCGCCTGCGGCGCCCCTGGGCGCGCTGCGCGCGCCTGTTTTGGGGGGGCTACCAGCACCGAAAAAGTGCCATTTTTCGGGGCACGGACTGGCCCCCGGCGTTTCGTTTTTTCTCACACCACGTGCCTCTGGACCTCCGTTCACGTGCACGAGCTTCTTGAGCCACCCACCCACCCACCCACCTCACGGCCCGGCTGAGGCTTGGAACCACCCACCCACCCCACCCACCTCACGGCCCGGCTGAGGCTTGGAACCACCGATTCATCTTCTGTTCGGTTCTTTTGGTTTTCTGTCTGATTGATTTTTACTCTTTCTTTCTCTGCTGGTTGTTTGTTTTCTAGTCGGCTGTTTGGTTTTGTTTTTTGTTCTTTCTGTCTTTTTTTTGTTTATATTTTCTTGTTATTTCTTATTTTTTTATGGTT